AATAATACACAGCAGTCAGTGAATGAGCTATGACTACCCTATGTCATCTGGATCTGTGAACACACTGCACAAACAGAACAGTGAGCAAAAGAAACCAGATACAAAATAATACACATGATATTTTTTATATAATAACAACAATTATTATTTTTTAAAGAGGCAGGGCACGGCAGCTCATGCCTGCTTGTGCCTGCAATCCCAATGCTTTGGGAAGCTGAGGCCAGGAGTTCAAGACTGCAGTGAACTATGGTCATGCCATGGAGGTGAGGAGTGGCTGTGGCTGAGCAAAGTGTTTTGAGCTGCATGTATGCGTGCTTGATACTTGCTCCTTTCGATCCAAATGATCTAGAGGGCCTTGGAGGGGTGGGGTGGGCACACGGGCCTCTGAAGTGCTCCCGCTCCATGATCTGAGTGCTATTACAAGGGCATGTTTGCTTTGTGATAATTCACTGAGCTTGACACTTCGATTTGTGTACTTTTCCATAAGTATGTTCTACTTGAATTGAAAGTTTACTTAAATTAAAAAATAGTGGGACAAAACACCCAAAATCAGTACGTAAAATACAGTGTGTCCAAGACGGAAAATGCTAAGGAGAAAAGCAGGGAAGGGAAGAAGGGAGATGCTGAGTAATTTAAATAGAATGGTCACCTAAGGACTTTCTGCGAACATCTAGAAGAAATCAGCTAGAATGCAGCCCAGAGAGAGGACAAGATGAAAAATATGGAAGAGGCCGGGCGCAGTGGCTCAAGCCTGTAATCCCAGCACTTTGGGAGGCCGAGACGGGCGGATCACGAGGTTAGGAGATCGAGACCATCCTGGCCTACACGGTGAAACCCCGTCTCTACTAAAAAATACAAAAAACTAGCCGGTGGAGGAGGCGGGCGTCTGTAGTCCCAGCTACTCGGGAGGCTGAGGCAGGAGAATGGCGTAAACCCGGGAGGCGGAGCTTGCAGTGAGCTGAGATCCGGCCACTGCACCCCAGCCTGGGCGGCAGAGCGAGACTCCATCTCAAAAAAAAAAAAAAAAGAAAAATATGGAAGAGATTTAAAAATATGAAGGACAGAAGGAGAAGGTCCACAGAGGACAGAGTGAGTTCCGGAAGGAGATATAGTGGGGAAGAGGTAATTTTCAAAGGAAAAATATAATTTTCCAGGATTTTTGGAAGACATCAGTTTCAGACCCTGGCCTTTGTGTGAAAGACAAGAATGATAAATAAGCAGGGACGCGTGCCTGGGGCTCTCGGTGTGAGGATACACAACAGCAGTTTTCCTCTCCGACTCTTGGAGAACTTACAAAAGCAACAAGGAGAAGGAAAATAACTCAATTTTCAGCAAAACAAGGAGACAGATATAATCTGCAGACTCAAAATACACGTAAGGACTGCCAAAAGCAACTGTGACCGCCACCGAAGCCAAGGCGTGAAGTGCAGCAGCAGCAGCCGCCTGGGGGACACGACTAGCAGGACAGACAGCGGGAAGCGCTCTGAGTAGGGGCAGATTGCAGAAAGTGCCAGCAAAAACACACTGCCTGAAGGAGCTCAGGACACACGTGAGGCAACGTGAGCCCGCGAACCTCAGAAAACAAGTAGCAGAGAAAACAAAAACAGACGGGAAGGTAGCATAAGTAGTCCACGGGAGATTAGACGCTGCAGACACTTCAGTGAGAGGCATGGAAACAAGGATAGAAATGAGACAAGTGACCGAAATGAAATGGAAAGAATAGGTCAAAAAAGAATCAGGG